TTTGGGTAATATCGACATTTTAACAGTATTTGTTCTTTCTATCCAGGAGCACGGGATATTTTTCCATTTTTTTTGTCTTCTTCAGTTTCTTTCATAAACTTTCTATACTTTTCAGCATATAGGTTTTCATCTCTTTGGTTAGATTTATTCCTAGGTACTTTATGGTTTTTGGTGCAATTGTCAATGGGATCGATTCCTTGATTTCTCTTTCTGTTGCTTCATTGTTGGTGTGTAGGAATGCAACCGATTTCTGTGCATTTTATATCCTGGATCAGTTCCAGCAGTTTTTTGGTGGAATCTTTTTTTTTTTTTATAGCATTTATAGTGTGAACATTTATTTTACTTTATTTTTTTAATTTCATTTTTTATTTATTAAAATTTACATCCAAATTAGTTAGCATATAGTAAAACAATGATGTCAGGAGTAGATTCCTTAATGCCCCTTACCCATTTAGCCCATCCCCCCTTCCACAATCCCTCCAGTAACCCTCAGTTTGTTCTCCATATTTATGAGTTTCTTCTGTTTTGTCCCCCTCCCTGTTTTTATATTTTTTTGTTTTTGTTTTTTTGTTTTTTTATATATTTTTTGTTTTTATGTTTTATATTACTTTTGTTTCCCTTCCCTTATGTTCATCTGTTTTGTCTCTTAAAGTCCTCATATGAGGGAAGTCATATGATTTTTGTCTTTCTCTGACTAATTTCACTTAACATAATACCCTCCAGTTCCATTCATGTAGTTGTAAATGGCAAGATTTCATTCTTTTTGATTGCCAAGTAATAGTCCATTGTGTGTGTGTGTGTGTGTGTGTGTGTGTGTGTGTGTGTATAAAATGTGGTGTGCATATATATACATATATATGCATATACATATATACATACATATACACATATACATATATATATGCATATACATATACACACACAATTTATTTTATTTTATTTTTCAATATATGAAATTTATTGTCAAATTGGTTTCCATACAACACCCAGTGCTCATCCCAAAAGGTGTCCTCCTCAATACCCATCACCCAACCTCCCCTCCCTCCCACCCCCCAACAACCCTCAGTTTGTTCTGTTTTTTGTTTTTTTTTTTTTAATTTTCTTTTCAACGTTTATTTATTTTTGGGACAGAGAGAGACAGAGCATGAACGGGGGAGGGGCAGAGAGAGAGAGAGGGAGACACAGAATCGGAAACAGGCTCCAGGCTCTGAGCCATCCGCCCAGAGCCTGACGCGGGGCTCGAACTCACGGACCGCGAGATCGTGACCTGGCTGAAGTCGGACGCTCAACCGACTGCGCCACCCAGGCGCCCCTGTTCTCAGTTTTTAAGAGTCTCTTATGCTTTGGCTCTCTCCCACTCTAACCTCTTTTTTTTTTTTCCTTCCCCTCCTCCATGGGTTTCTGTTAAGTTTCTCAGGATCCACCTAAGAGTGAAACCATATGGTATCTGTCTTTCTCTGTATGGCTTATTTCACTTAGCATCACACTCTCCAGTTCCATCCACGTTGCTACAAAGGGCCATATTTCGTTCTTTCTCATTGCCATGTAGTGCTCCATTGTGTATATAAACCACAATTTCTTTATCCATTCATCAGTTGATGGACATTTAGGCTCTTTCCATAATTTGGCTATTGTTGAGAACACACACATTTTCTTTATCCATTCATCCATCAATGGACATTTGGGCTCTTTCCATACTTTGGCTATTGTTGATAGTGCTGCTATAAACATTGGGGTGCATGTGTCCCTTTGAAACAGCACACCTGTATCCCGTAGCTAAATGCCCAGTAGTGCAATTGCTGGGTCTAGGGTAGTTCTATTTTTAGTTTTTTGAGGAACCTCCATACTGTTTTCCAGAGTGGCTTCACCAGCTTGCATTCCCAAGTTTTTGGTGGAATCTTTTGGGTTTATCATATTGATTATCATGTCATCTGTGAAGAGTGAAAGTTTGACCTCCTTCTGGCCGATTTGGATGCCTTTTATTTTTTTGTGTTGTCTGATTGCTGAGGCTAAGACTTCCAATACTATGTTGAATAACAGTGGCAAGAGTGGACATCCCTGTCTTGTTCCTGACCTTAAGGGGAAAGCTCTCAGTTTTTCCCCATTGAGGATGATATTAGCGTTGGGTCTTTCATACATCGCTTTTATGATCTTGAGGTATGATCCTTCTATCCCTACTTTCTTGAAAGTTTTTATCAAGAAAGGATGCTGTATTTTGTTAAATGCTTTCTCTGCATCTATTGAGAGGATCAAGTGGTTCTGTCCTTTCTTTTATTGATGTGATGAATCACATTGATTGTATTTCAGATATTGAACCAGCCCTGCATCCCAGGTATAAATCAGACTTGGTCATGGTGAATAATTTTTCTAATGTATTGTTGGATCCAGTTGGCTAATATCTTGTTGAGGATTTTTGCATCCATGTTCATCAGGGAAATCGGTCTATAGTTCTTTTTAGTGGAGTCTCTGGTTTTGGAAAATGTTTATTATTTTTGAGAGAGAGAGAGAGAGAGAGAGAGCGAGCACGAGTGCAGGAGATGCAGAGAGGGAAGTGGACAGAGGATCCAAAGACGGCTTTGTGGTGATAGCAGAGAGCCCAACGTGGGGCTCAAACCCATGAACCATGAGATCATGACTGAAGCCAAAGCTGGACGCTTAATAATGAACTGAGCCACCCAGGTGCCCATTAATTTCTGATTAATTCTTAATTATTATAATTGCGAAGTGTAAACACAAAATGCAAGAAAAGTGAATGAAAGAGATAGAAACTGAGGCAGAGACCCACTGAGAGAGAAAAAAGGTCAGGGTGTAGTTAAAACAAAGTAGATTTGGGGCGCCTGGGTGGCGCAGTCGGTTAAGCGTCCGACTTCAGCCAGGTCACGATCTCGTGGTCCGTGAGTTCGAGCCCCGCGTCAGGCTTTGGGCTGATGGCTCGGAGCCTGGAGCCTGTTTCCGATTCTGTGTCTCCCTCTCTCTCTGCCCCTCCCCCGTTCATGCTCTGTCTCTCTCTGTCCCAAAAATAAATAAACGTTGAAAAAAAAAAAAAAAAAACAAAGTAGATTTATAGCCAAGAATTTTCCTAGAGACAAAGAGGGACTCTCCATAATAATGAGTCAGTTCATTAGGAAGATATAACAGTTTTAAATATATATACATATAATCATAGAGCTTTAAAATACATAAAAACCTGAAAAATTAAGGGAGAAATAAATTCACAATTATAATTGCAGACTTTAAACAGTAGAACAAGGTACAAAACTATGAAGGATATGGTAGGTCACAGTGACAGCATCCATTACCTGAATTCACATTCACTTCTACAACAATATCTTCAAGGACTGCAGAATACACACTTTTTCAAGCGCACATGTGTCATTCAGTAATACAGACCATATGGCAGGCCATAAACAAGTCTTAAGAGACTCCAAGCAATTGAAATCCTACAAAAAAATCCAAGAAAAGCAAAGAACATTTGGAAATTGCAAAACTCACTAGAAAATAACCCATGGGTTGAGGAAGAAATCACAGGGTAAATGAGAAAATAGTTTAGACCCAATGAAAACATAACATATTGAAATTTGTGGAATGTGGTTAAAGCATTGAGGGAAATTATAACTTAAAGTGCTTATATTGGGAAAAAAGAAATGATCAAAGCTCCCACCTTAGGAAGTTAGCAAAAGAAGGCAAATTAAATGCCAAGCAAGTAAAAGAAACAAAATTATAAAGATTAAAGTAGAAATTAAAAGAAATAGAGATGAAGGATAGAGAGAAAAAAACCAATAAAATTACAACTCTTACTTGGAATGTATCAATAAATGCGCCAAGGTGCTGTCTAGATCAAAACTGACAAGGGAGGCCTGGGTGTATCCAACTTTTGATTTTGGCTCAGGTCATGATCTCAGGGATATGAGATCAAGCCCTGGGCTCTGATCTGGGTGTGGAGCCTACTTGAGATGGTCTCCTTCTCTCTCTGTCCCTTTCCCATGCTTGTGAGCTCTCTTAAAAAAAACAAAACAAAACAAAACAAAAAAACCAACCAACTTCAAACCCCCCCCAAACTGACACAAGGGAAAAAAGAAAAGTCCATATAGTTCTACAATCTACTGAAGATATTACATTTATAATTATAAACATCTTCACAAAATTTCCAGATTCAAGTAGTTTCATTTAAAGAAGAAATAATATCTATCCTACCTGTATTCTTTCCCTCCCCTCTCCCTCCCTTTCCATTCTTTGGCATCTCAGTGGCCAGTGTTGAAGAAATATCCTTGTGTGTACTCCTTACCTATGACTACTATGGAATAGCTTTCTAGGAGCGTGATGGTTGAGCACGTTATTTTCTATATTTTAAGTGTTAATTTCTATTTCCAGATTGCTTTCCATTTTACAATTGCACCTTCAATGTGGGAGAGTACACTTGACTGCACACCACTTGCCATATGGGTCTTTATGCTTTTTCATTTTGTATCAGTTTGATAGGCCTAAGTAAGGTGATGTCTCATCATTTTATCCTAATTTCAACTTGCATTTCTCCACTAGTAGGAAAGTCATTTTCAGATATGTGCTTGTTATTTTGTTGAGCTCCTCTGTGAATAGGATACCCAGATGCTTTGACTGCTTTTCTCTTTTGTTTTCAATTTGAAAGATCCATATGCTGTATATTATTGATATTATCCACGTACCTGACATACACACATACCCATTTTCCCCAGTCTATCTTTTCTTCTCATGTTATCATATTTTTGCCTCTCATGCTTTTTATGAGTTTAAAAATTTATTACATGGTTAATAAATGGCTTTTGTGTTTAAAATTTGGTTTGTCCTGGGGCCCCTGGGTGGCTCAGTCAGTTAAGTGACTGACTCTTGATTTTGGTTCAGGTCATGATCTCGCCATTGGTGGGTTCGAGTCCCGCATCCAGCTCTGTGCTGACAGTGTGGAGTCTGCTTGGGATTCTCTGTCTCCCTCTCTCCCTCTGCCCCTTCCCTGCTTGCACACACTCTCTCTCAACAATAAATAAACATATAAAGAGTCCCAACAGGAGGAAGAGGGAGGCAGGAGAGTGAGGTCAGAGTCAGAGAAGGAGAAGTCACTGGATGACACTGGAAGCAGATGTTGGGGTGATGCAGGTGTTGGGCTTCAAAGGTGCAAGGAGCCAAGAGTGGAGGAATTCAGATAGCCTCTTGAAGCTGGAAAAGGAAACAGAATGGGTTTTCCTTTAGATCTTTCAGAAGGAACACAGCCCTGCTGACAACTGATTTTAGTTTTGTAAGACAAGTCTAAGACTGCTGACCTCCAGATTGTGTGGTAACAAATTTGTGGGGTTTTTTTAGTTTATTTTGAGAGAGACAGAGAGAACATGAGTTGGGGAGAGGCAGAGAAAGGGAGAGAGAGAGAATCCCAAGCTGAGTCCGTGATGTCAGTGCGTAGAGCCTGACCTGGGGCTCAAACTCACAAACCATGAGATTATGACCTGAGCCAAATCAAGAGTCAGATGCTTACCTAATTATGGAGTTTGCAGAATCCCAAGATCTGCCATCTGCAAACTGGAGACCCAGGAAAGCTGGTGGTGTAATTTAGTTGGACTCTCAAGGCCTGAGAACCAAGGAAGCCAATGGTGCAGATTCCAGTCTAGGTCTGAAGGTCTGTGAACCAGGAGCCCTGAGGGCAGAAGATACATGCCTTAGCGCAAGCAATGTGGTAGAAAAGGGGTGAATTCCTCCTTCCTCTGCTTTTTGCTCCAGCAAGGCCCTGAAGGGATTTTATGATGCCCACCCACATGGGGGAGGGCAATCTACTTCACTGAGTCTGCTGATTCGAATGTAAATCTAATCCAGAAACACACATGTTCCCAGACACATTCAGAAACAAAGTTTAATCTGGGCACCCCATGGCCAGGTGAATTGACACATGAAATTAACCATCACCAGGGCTCTTCACTTTTTGGCAGTTGTTCTACAAAAACAGTTTTTTTCCTTCAGATTTTTTTCCCCATGGGTGTAGACAGGTGTCATTTATTTTCTGAAAACACATATATCATATATACAAAGATATATGGTGTGGTGCATGCAGAGATGTCTACTACCTATCAAGGAGGACTTGTCACTCACCTGGGAGGAGTTTGTTTAGTGGACAGCCCCAGGTTATGAGTTTCAGCAGTTGGCTTCGGCTGCAGATGCCTGCTGAGGTCAGGCTCTTCCCTGGCAGCACCTTCCTGTGCCTGGGAGAGGTATGGGTATAAAGATCTGGTCACCTGGTGTTGACCCAGCTAACTCTGATGGATCCTGCTTGTTCTGGAGTCCCTGTCAGCTGGCTGAGGTTTTGTTAGCCCTGCATTATGGTTTGACTTTTCCCTCTACCCAAGCCCACTTTTGCTTGCTTGCTTTCATAGACGTTTATCCCTAATTGCTTCCCCTCCTACCCATGGTCTCTCCATCATCTGCTCTGAAGGACCTTGCCTGTTACAAACTGTATGTATTCTTTTAAACCCTGTTTCCAGTTAATTTAGCCATTTCAATGTTTGTAGCCGTTTCAATGACAAAATACTCACAGCACCATTTTAAATAATTGCATAGTGGTCCATTACACGGATCTTATTTAATGCGTTTAAACAATTGCATGTTTTTCTTAATTTTGCTATGATAACCAATGATTCTGTGTAATCCTTTACTACCCCCTTTCCTGCTTGTCAGAAATTTAAGGATTAATCCCTAAAAAAGGAATAGCTAGATCAAAGTGGTTGCACTTCTAAGCTTTTTGATTCCTTGTTCCAAAAGGTTCCCAGGGAGAGCATCTCATTTTTAATCTCCCATCTGGCAATTTATGATGGGTGTTATCTATTTTTGTAATACTTCCCAGTCTGGTAGGAGAAACAATGTTCCATTGTTCTATTTTGTTCCTACACTACTCATAAACCCAGCTGTTTCTGTGATTCTACAATTACGAGTTTCACCATTTTGCGAGGTTTTCTCATTATCTTCGAAGTCACCAAACATTAACCACAAGGGGGCGCTGTTCCCCTGTCAATGTCCTGCAGTTGTACACTCTCCAGCTGCCTTTCTGAGCCAGGACTGAAAAGTTCCAAGCAGGGTTTACAGAGAATAAGTAAACAGCATTAATACCCACAGGCGGAGACTCTGGTTTCTTAAGTCGTTTTTTCAACCTGGTCAGTTACATCTCTGGTCAGTTACATCTCAGGCGGGGACCCTGGGCCTGCAAAGGGGACATGTCCGCGCCTTCCGCTCACAGTCCCTAGAGTACCTAGGGCAAGTCTCAGGAAAGAACCCCAGTACCCCACCCGCCAGCTCTGGGGGGCGCCCCCAGGGGTCGTGTGCAGGGCAGCGCTCCAGGAGCTCTGTCTACAGGGCCTCAAGTGGGTCCAGTCAAGGGTGCAGATGAGGCTCTGTTATCAGGAGGTTATGAGGAGCAACCAAAGGGTTGGGGGTCTGCACTCGGACCTCTTCAGTATGGAAAGAGGGCAGCAGGATCTGAGTGGAGCCATCACACCCCCATCCCCCCTTTCCCGCAGCTGCCCGACCTCGGCTCCACTCTGCTGTGCACTGGTCCTGGAAGAAATGAAATCTCCCTGGGGTCCTGCCTGGGTCTGAGTCCGAGGCCGCCAGGTGTGCGAGCTGGAAAGGGCCGGGGGGGGGGGGGGGTGCCAGCGAGCTCTGAGATGGGCAGCATGGCGGAGATCATGGGGGGCATCAAATAGCTGGGATTCTGCTAATGCTGGACGCAATACGGTTAGAACCACAGATGGTCTGACTTGCCTGCCCTCGTTCCAGGCTCCAGACTCCTCCCATTCTCGCCTCTGTCCCCAGGCTCTCTTCCCTACATATTCTACCTCACCCCATTCTGCAGTGTTGGGTCTCCTCTCAGAGGGCCTGGGCTCAGGCCCCGCTTCATTCCCTGACCGGTGGATTATCAGAGTGGATAACTGGCTGAGAGACTGCAGGGACTAGAGGCCGTTCTGAGTCGACTCCGGGTGGTTATCCCTTTAGGGGCTCTCTTTGTCCAGTACCAATAACCCTGCCTCCAGGCTAAGAGGCAGCAAAGGGCCTATTGCGAGATAGGCACGACAGGAAGTTATTTCAGGGAAGCTGGCCCTCAGAGGCCCTTATGGCCATTATCCGGGTTTCCCCGAGAGAAGGCAGACGTGGGGTACTTGCATGGATCACCCTCCCAAGCACTGAAGAGAGGACCAGTCTCCAGCTTCGGAATTGGGGAGGGTGGCGGAGGGCACCAGCATAGTCCACTTCTCAGGGAGAGTGAGTCCCCGCTCCCAGAAGCTGGGTTGAATGGCACCAACAGTGGGTCCTTCGAAAAAACACTTCGCGCGCCAAGAGTGGGCTCTTCGTCCTGCTTGGGTCTACCTTGTAATGGCTGACCTCGACGATGCAGCTTTACCTTTTCCAACCTCAGTTTCCGGAAGTAACGTGGCAGCCCATGGGGCTAATGGGGAGGTTCAAGACCCACCCCGAGGTAACCTGGAACAAACTTAACCAAATCCGTCGCCTTGTTGGAGAAGGCGCCTGCGCAGGCGCGCTGGACACGTCCGCCCAAAGGCTGGCAGATGGAAGCGACCGCAAGGGCCCCTGGGGAGTGTTGTCTGTGCCGAGAAGGGGCAAGAAGAGGCGGAGCTTCACTGAGAGCCTACGCCGGCCGTGTTTAGAGAAAACAGCTGATGAGCCACCAGTGGCTGTGGTTCAGGAGGCGTGGCTTTGTCTTTTCCGCGGCGCCGGCGGCAATCCCTGTGCTCAAAGGATTCTGGGTACTGTGGTCCTGGTCCCTTGGCAAGCAGGGCAGTGATGGGTGCTGGCCCACCCGCCTTTGGCCATGTGGCGGGAGTGAGTCTGGGGGAAGGGGAAGATAGCTGGGAGTGGCTAGGGTTGGGTCTCTGGCAAGGCTTAGGGTTGCTTTCCCAAATTGTTCTTTTTATTTGTGGGTGTGGGTGGGTAAACAACTCGCAGCTGGAGGAATGAATTTGAGGAGTGAATTTGAGGAACGAATAAGGGGTGATGTGAGACTCGGCGGTGAATCCTAGGGTTGCAGGGCACGTCTCAGGCCCCGGTAGGGGCCCCAGGATTGCGGAGCCACGCTTTTCTTTTGAGGCCGGGTGGCGTGCGGGACCGTTCTAAGCCACTGTAGTGGTGGCAGTGGTGGCAGTGGTGGCACATCTCTAGTTCTCTCTTCACGTGGTATTTGGGGCTTAAGTTGGAAGACCTTAGGGGTTTTGTGGTGTTGACATAGTCTTGGTTTGGGAGCAAACAGCCCCTGGTGGTGGTTAGGGCCGTTGTGACTCCTGTGGGAGGGGAGGTGCGTGAAACCTGGGCGGTGTGGTGGTAGTGGAGCTCTAACCTGACTGATGTCAAGGTGTTTGGCAGAAGCTGGCTGGGCCCGTCGCACTGGGAAAGGGGTGCTGTTTGGTCATGGAGATTTTGGGATTGGAACAAAGGGGATTTTGGAGAGTGGAACAAAGTTTGGCTTAGAGGAAACTGCTGAATATTCCCAGGTGCGAATGGGTTGGGGTGGGAGTAGGTCCCTTTATACGCGTGTTTTTGGGTGATCAGGGCAACTTCTCTTTCTCCAGGCTTGCTGTCCCATGGTTTGTTGCTGGTGGGGGATATTGGCATGGTTCAAACATCTTTGGGTTTGGCTGGAAACCTGGATGACCAGTTGGTTTGCCTGGTTCTGCTTTAGACAGTGGCTCTTAATTAACTGGCCACTCCCAGGGTTAGGACTGTGAGGTTGGTGGTGGCTGGATGGGGGAGGTAGGGTGGTGGCCCCTGGGTCCAGGCCTCTTTGTCACAGCCCCTGGTGGCTGTTAGATGGCACCTGATTTACAAATACAGGCATCACTGGTGGACTTCAGGCATTGGAACCTTTATTTTTAACCTTATATTATGGAAAACATTCAAACATTCACTTTAGTAGAGAAAATAATACAAGGTCTCCTTATGAATCTATCTCCCAGACCCTACACTTATCAACTCATGCATGGCCAACCTTGTATCCAAACCCCCAACCTTACTTAAGGACTGGCTCACAGGTTGACAGGTCAAGTGCATGGCCTTTTACAGAGCTCAGCCACTTTTTAGCTAAACTAATTTGAGCAAGATACATGACTTTAACTGTGCTTGGTTTCTTTATCTGTAAAGAGTGGATGGTAAATAGGACTGTTCAGAGAACTGAATGAGGCAAGCCACGTACAGTGACCGAACAGTCTTTGGTATATAGTAAATATTCAGAGTGTTAACTTCTTTTTTTTTTTAACTTTTTAAATGTTTTATTTATTTTTGAGAGAGAGAGACAGAAAGAGAGAGAGAGAGACAGAGTGTGAGTGGGGGAGGGGCAGAGAGAGAGGGAGACACAGAATCTGAAGACAGAATCTGAAGACACAGAATCTGAGCTGTCAGCACAGAGTCTGATGTGGGGCTCAAACTCATGGACTGTGAGATCGCGACCTGAGCTGAAGTCAGATGCTTAACTCACTAAGCCCCCCAGGTGCCTCCTCTTAATTGTAGAGAACAATGTGACGGTTACCAAAGTAGAGAGCCATGGCAGGATGGGTGAAATAGGTGACGGGCATTAAAGAGGGTACTTGTGATGAGCACTGGGTGTTGTATGTAAGTATTGAATCACTATATTGTACATCTGAAACACTGTACATTAACTGGAATTTAAATACAAACTTAAAAGCAAAAGCAATAAACAGAACAGAAACCCCTATTCATCCAATATGAATTGGCACACATTATGACCAGGTTCTAGTCTGGAATGCTGGATTTTTAATTTTTGATTTGTAAAAAATTGGAGAAGAGTCTTAGAATTGCTGTGGGCATCTGAAGTCAAATCCTTTCAGTAATCAGGCCCTGGACCATCTCTGTCTTTTGAATGTCCACATGTCCTTAGTGGTCCTCACATTGTTTTGAGGCTGGACACTTCAATTCAGATTTAGTTTACACATTACATTTGAGGGGAGATTGTCCCTCCAGACCAAGCAACTTTTGTGCCACTCAGTCACTGTTTTTATAAGGAAGTTCCCTGTGGACATTTCCACCTATGGTTTGTTATCTTCAATAGGAGAAAACAGTGTGTCAGATATTTATATCATAAAATAAGTGTAGCAGGGCAAAAAGGCTGACTATAATTACAGCTATTTATAGAATGGCTTCTGCTGCTTACGTGAAAGATTCCCAGTCTGACTAACACTTAGAAACTCTACTGGTATGAATTTTCTGGGTTTCAGTTATGGGTAAAAGAGAAAAGAAAAATCATTTTTGTAGAGGATTTATTGGTGGGATACAGAGCTTTTGTTGGAAACCTGCCACATGTGTTTTGGAGGGGCAAGTCTTCAGATCGGAGGAGTGGCTGCTTCATCTAGGACCGCTCTGACAAAAACTGCTTTCTCTTGAGCAGAACCAAGCCAGAAATCCATTTCTGTGTTGATTGCCCTCTGGCTTTCTGCAGTCAACCTTTCCTCAGCCAAAATGTTTGGCTCAGCCATCCCCCTAGGATCGTCCCAGTCTTGGGTGCAGGAAACCACCTTCAGCCAGGGGATATTTGCCAAGAGGATCCAAAGACACAAGAACAACAACTTTCTGCACAAACCCGCTAGAGTGGCCAAGCAGAAGCACATGAGACAGAAGACACCGAGTCCTTGTTATGGAGGACAAGTAAAAGCAGAGGGTCCTAGCAGCACTTTGCAGCCCAGCCCTGGGACAGCTTCTACACCTTAGGGAAGGAACTAGATAAGCAGAGTGGCAGGCACAGAGCCCAGCCTGGTAAAGAGGGCAATCCCTGAGGAGACAGAGGGCTGAAGGGGGTAGACTTTTCAGGATGTGGACCAGTCAGTTGGGCAGAGTGTGAGAGGGATCTTAGCCAGCAGTTAAACATCCCTTGTATGGGGCACACTCAGAGGAGAGGCCCTTATGGGCAGGCTTTGGCAACGAGTCATCCCTCTGGAGACCCCAGGGGATGCATGTGAGGGAGCGGCCCTGCGTGTGCCTTGAGTGTGGGTGAAGCTGCAGTTGGAAGTCAAATCTTTGCAGAAATCAGAGGTCACACTTAGGGGAGAAGTGTTTTCTGTGCTGTGAGTATAGATGGATTTTTACTGAGAAGTTGACCCTCATAGCACATCCAAGGATGCATTCAGGGTAGAAGTCTTCTGTGTGTAGAGGTGTGAGCATGGCTTTAGACAGCTGTCAATCCTTGTGAAACACCACAGAGTACACTTGAAGCAGAAGTCCTTTCTGTGCAGGGAGTATGGACAGGGCTTCTGGCTGAGGTTCGGGGTCCTCAGGCACCAGTACACACATGTGGCTGTGCTGTGCCTTCTGTGCATGGAGTGTGGGTGTGGCTTCAGCTGTAAGTCAGCCCTGGTCAGACCTCAGGGAACACACTTGGGAGAGAAACGCTTTGTGTGCAGGGTATGTGGGCTTCAGCTCTAAAGGGGGGAGGTCTCTTCAGACACCAGAGAACACACTCGGGGAAAGAGCAGTGGCCCTTTGTGTGTAGGGAATGAGTGAAAAGTTTTAGCTGAAAGGTGGCCCTTTCAGACACCAGCAGACACTTAGGAGAGAAGCCCTTTGTGTCTAAGAAGTGTGGGTGAGGCTTCAGCCTGAAGTCAAATCTCGTCACACATCAGAGGAAACACTAGTGGGAGTGTTGCAGAGGCTTTAGACGGAAGCAAGTCTTAGGGCGCCTGGGTGGCTCAGTTGGTTAAGCATCCGACTTCGGCTCAGGTCATGACCTCATAGTTCTTGAGTTTAAGCCCTGCATCGGGTTTGGTGCTGACAGCTTGGAGCCTGCTTCAGATTTTGTGTCCCTCTCTCTCTGCCCCTCCCCCATTTGCGCTCTGTCTCTCTCCCTCAAAAATAAACATTAAAAAATTTAAAAAAATTTTTTCTAGGTGGAAGCAAGTCTTTGTCAAACATAGAATGTGCTCAGGGGAGAAACAGTCTGCATGCAGTGTGGATGGATGGGGCTTTATTTAGAAGTCACATCTTAGGATATACAGAGGACAATTTGGTCATCACTACCCCCACTGCAGGATAGAGATGCTTCAGTATCAGTTTCCTGGCCCTCTACATGCCCTGTGGATGTGAACATGGCATGGGAAGCAGTAGAAAAATGGGCTTTTTCTTGTCAAGGAGATAGTCAAACTGTGGT